TTCCCCTTAAAAAGCAAAATACAAACTATATAATAACTTAACAGAATAATAAAAAAAGCAAAGCAAGAAACAATAGTGCTAAAATTAAATTACTCCCCACCCTGACTAAATACTTCTACAAACCCAAGCAGAAATAAAACAATAAAATTATAGAATATTATAAAAAAACCCCACCATTTAAAGTGCAGCAAATTAAAAGCACTTAAAACATTTAAAACCATTTTGTCACTTGCTGCAGGGAGCTGCTCAGGCCTCTAAACTTTGGTGGTGAGTGCAGGCCCCGCCCCCTAGGCCAGGTGGAGTTGGCAGGAAAGGAAGCGGTCCTCCCAGCACTCACTCAGAGCAGCAGCAGCAGCAGCATGATGGGGCCAGAGATGCTCATTTATTCTTTCTGGCAGTTCCCTCCTTGCGAGAAGTGAGGTTATAGGGAACCAGACAGAGGGCCTTCTTGGTAGTGGCGCCCGCCCCGTGGAACGCCCACCCTTCAGATGTGAAGGAAATAAGTAGCTATCTTATCTTTAAAAGACATCTGAAGGCAGCCCTTTTTAGGGAAGTTTTTAATATTTAATGCTGTATTGTTTTTAACACACGATTGGAAGCCGCCCAGAGTGGCTGGGGAAACTCAGCCAGATGAGCGGGGTATACAAATATTATTATTATTATTATTATTATTATTATTATTTATTAATTACTACATGGTTAAACACAAAATGCTATATGATGCTTTCATTCAGTAATGTCTTCAGAACTGATAGGCATAAAGGAAGATATTAAGAAGCAGAAGAAACAGGTGTGGAAAGATTAAAAGGTCCCAACGAAAGAAGAATGGATAACTAAGATGACTGACTGCCGAAATGGCTAAACTTTCCGTGAAGATCAAGCACCAAGATGAGAAAAAATACAATCAAGAATGGGAAAACTTTATAGACTATTTTAGAGAACACTGTAAAAACGTCAAAACATTGGCAGGTTTGAACTAAGAATAGAATTAGGAGGGGGGAAAGAAGTTGAAATTAATTGGAGAAATATAATTATATGCAAGGAGAATAAAGGGGGGACGGAAACTAGGGGGGCCGGGGGGAAGACATTTATGGCAAATTTGCAAAAATGTTATTTTGAAAATTGAAAATAAAAAATATAGATATTTTAAAAATAATTTAGAAAACTATTTGGGGCGCCGGTGCAGCTGATCCAGCGGGGCTTTCCGGAGGCGAGACCAGCGCCTCTCCTCGCTCTTTGCCCGGAGACGCCCAGAGGCTCCTGCCGCTCGGCTCCGAAACGGTTAAGAACAGCGGCGACAGAGCTGAGATTCCTAGAGCGGAGGAAAAAAGGCTGTTGGGAGAATAGCAGCTTCCGCTTCCCCGGGAAAGAGGCCGAACACGGCGGCGGCTCTCCTTCCTCGCGGAGGCGCTGGAGGTGCGTCATATCATTATGTATTACAACTGGGGGGGGGGGGGGAGAGTGGGGGTGCTGCTGGAGGGAGTTGTGGGGAGGGATTAAAAAAAAACCCTACTAGGCAAACCGTTTCAATGTAAGTTTTTTTCTGTGTCTCCTTTTTCTCGTCGTCATTTTGTCCAAATTTTCACGTTATTATTTTTAAAGACCTCTTGAAAATTGTTCAGCATTTTGGTGTAGATTTCTCCTAATGCACACGCTTTTGCAAAGGGTATTTCCCCAAATATTTACATTTACCATAATTAATGCATTCTGTGTATAATTCCGCTAAAATAATGCATTTATAGGGCTTTCCCCCTTTGTATGGGGGTAGGACATCTTTTCCCAATGGAAGGGAGGATCTTTCTCCTCCTCTCCTCTCCTCCCTGCAGGCCAACTTGGGCAGGTGGGGGACCTTCCTTGATCTCTCCATAGGGCTTGGGGTCAAGGCAGACCCTTAAGCATTGGGAAACCTTCTTCAGGGGCTCCCCCTGGAACTTGTAATAATTTTTATCCGGCCTGATTTTACTATTATTTATTAAAATTGTATACCTCCCTGTACCCACAGGCCTTAGGGCAGTTCACAGGATAAAATTGCAATATAAAAACCTCAAAGTACATAATCAAAACATAAACAAAATCAACCCAATAACCCCCCCCCAAAAAACCACACACATTTTAAAACATTTGTGTTTCAATTAAATACAGCAGTTTCTGCAAGAGGAGTTCTGGGCAGAAGAGGTTAAAAAAAAAAGGAGAAACAAGCAACTTCAAGTCCACATTAAAATTACAAGTGTGGCTGAGGCCTTACTTAGACAGGCTAATACTATTACTATTACTACTACGAATACCCCTGAGCACCCTCTCCCACCAGTGTCTTGCCTCGGTAATGGACTGGATGAAAGCCAACAAATTGAAGCTCATTCCAGATAAGAGTGAGGCTCAGTTAGTGGGTGGTTCCCTAGAGCAGATGGCTGGAAGGTCGCCTGCTCTTGATGGGGTTACACTTCCTCTGAAGGAGCAGTTTCGTAGCTTAGGGGTTCTCCTGGATCCTTTGCTGTTTCTCAAGGCTCAGATGGCCTGGAGTGCCATCTACCGTTGTCTATGCTCTGGGAACTTCAAGGTTAGATAAAATATGCGTTATACGTAGGGCTGCCTATGAAGACAGTCTGGAAACTTCAACTAGTGCAGAATTCAGCGGCCAGGTTGCTCACCGGAGTAAGGCGGGTGAGCATATTACCCCCATCCTGGTCCGACTGCACTGGCTACCAGTTAGTTTCCGGGCTCAATTCAAGGTGCTGGTATTGACCTATAAAGCCTTAAATGGCTCAGGATCACAATACTTCAAGTACGACCTCAATACTTCAAGGGCTGCTTCTTTCCATATGAACCTAGCCGTATCCTGAGGTCCTCCTTCGTGGGCTTCCTCCTCAAGTGGTCCGGAGGGTGGCAACACGAGAGCAGGGCCTTCTCTGCAGTGGCTCCCTGTCTGTGGAATGCTCTCCCCAGGAAAATTCACCTGGCGCCTTCCTTATACTCCCCATGAATCGGAGCATGCCTTGGAAACTCACTTTCCTCTCAAAGCTCCTTTTTTATGTCCATGGAGCTTTTATGGCATAATACTGGAGTGGGTGGCCAGTTTCTTCTCCAGGTGGATCACATTTAGTCTAAACTCTCGGCTGACCTGTCTGTCTTAGGTGGCCCTGCAAGGCATAGGTCATAGCTGAGTTATTCAAGCCCCTTCGCCACGACAAGGCAGTGTTCCATGAAGGGATATACACCTTTAGGTGCCATGCAAACATGTTCCTTTTTAACCAGGCTTTTGCTTGATATGTTTGACATCCTATAGTCTTTTTCAAACGTGGCTCTTTTTTGGGGGGGTGTTATTGGGTTGGGTTTTATTCTGATTATATATGATGTGATCTTTTCTGCGAACCACGCTGAGTCCTCCGGGTTTAGGGCGGTATATAAACTCAATAAATAATAATAATACCATATTAATACTTTCATTATTGGTACCCCACGGATCTGACTGGGTTCCCCAGCCACTCTAGCTGGCTTCTAACAAATATAAAAGCATAATAAAACATAAAAAACTTCCCTCTACATGGCTGCCTCCAGTTGTCTTCTAAAAGTTGTATAGTTTTTTATCTGACATCTCACAAGAGGGCGTTCCACAGGGTGGGCACCACTACCAAGAAGGCCCTCTGCCTCGTTCCCTGTAACTTTCCTTCTCACAGGGAGGGAACTGCCACAAGGCCCTGGGACCTGGATCTCTGTGTCCTGACTGAATGATTGGGTGAAGACGCTCCTTTAGCATTTCATCAGTTTGCCTTTTTATTTTTTTTTTATAATGATATTTATTAAGTTTTCAAAGGAAAAAAATTGCATAAATAAAAAGATTAGAAAAAAAGACAAAAAGAAAAAGGGAAAAAAAGAAAAATACAAAATACAGAAAAAAGATAAAAACCATTTAAAAAGGAAACACATCAATCTTTCCATGTCATATATTCATATCCTTGCTTCCCTGACCTCCTCACACCTCCCTTTTTTGTATTCCAATTCAGTTAGTTAATTCAGCAATTTCTTTCCCTCTTTGTTTTTATCTTAATCCTTTATCTTAATATAATATAACTTTGAGTTCTGACCTGTTAAAAATCCATTTTTTCATACACCTTTAAAACATTGCTGCTTAAACCACTTAACTTCATTCTGACATCATTCTAACATTCATTAATTTTGCAATATTTCTGTAAATAGTCTTTAAATTTCTTCCAATCTTCTTCCACCAACTCTTCTCCCTGGTCTCGGATTCTGCCAGTCATTTCCGCCAGTTCCATGTAGTCCATCACCTTCATCTGCCATTCTTCCAGGGTGGGTAGATCTTGCGTCTTCCAATACTTTGCAATAAGTATTCTTGCTGCTGTTGTGGCATACATAAAGAAAGTTCTGTCCTTCTTTGGCACCATTTGGCCGACCATGCCCAGGAGAAAGGCCTCTGGTTTCTTCAAAAAGGTATATTTAAATACCCTTTTCAGTTCGTTATAAATCATCTCCCAGAAAGCCTTAATCCTTGGGCACGTCCACCAAAGGTGAAAGAATGTACCTTCAGTTTCCTTACATTTCCAACATTTGTTATCGGGCAAATGGTAGATTTTTGCAAGCTTGACTGGTGTCATGTACCACCTGTATATCATTTTCATAATATTCTCTCTTAAGGCATTGCATGCCGTAAACTTCATACCTGTGGTCCATAACTGTTCCCAGTCAGCCATCATTATGTTGTGTCCGACATCTTGTGCCCATTTAATCATATCAGATTTCACCGTTTCATCCTGTGTATTCCATTTCAACAGCAAGTTATACATCTTTGACAAAATCTTAGTTTTGGGTTCTAGCAATTCTGTTTCTAATTTTGATTTTTCCACCTGGAAGCCAATTTTCTTGTCCAAATTATATGCCTCCATTATCTGATAATAATGAAGCCAGTCTCACACTTTGTTTTTAATTTCTCAAAACTCTGCAGTTTCAGTCTATCTCATCAGTTTGCCTTTTTATTCCATCAGGAGATGTTGAAGGGATGCTGGCAAAAGGGGAACAATCAGAAGTGTCACCAAAAGGATCGAAAGAGCAAAGGAAGCTGAGGGTTCAAGATGGAGGCAGCAGGCGAGAGGGAGACGATAGCAGAAGTCGGAGGGTGACTCTTGTATGTCTCAGGGTGGTGAAAACCAAATTCCCAGAGAGGAGAAAAAGCATGAATGCACAGTGTGTGGAAAGAGATTTGGTTGTCGCTCAGCTCTTACTTTACATCAAAGAGTACACACAGGAGAGAAACCATTTACATGTTCCGAGTGTGGAAAGAGCTTCAGTCAATGTGGCCAGCTTACTAGGCATCAAAGAACTCATACAGGGGAGAAACCGTATACATGTTCTGAGTGTGGAAAGAGCTTTATTTGGAGTAACAGCCTTAGGTTGCATCAACGAACTCATACAGGGGAGAAACCGTATAAATGCTTGGAGTGTGGAAAGAGCTACAGTCAAAGTAGTTCCCTCACCTTGCATCTACGAACTCATACAGGAGAGAAACCTTATAAATGTTTGGAGTGTGGAAAGAGCTACAGTCACTGTGGTGCCCTTACCTTGCATCAAAGATCTCATACAGGGGAGAAACCGTATACATGTTCGGAGTGTGGAAAGAGTTTCAGTGACAATGGTGCCCTTACCTCGCATCAAAGATCTCATACAGGGGAAAAACCGTATACATGTTCAGAGTGTAGAAGGAGCTTCAGTCAGAGTAGCACCCTTAAGTCGCATCAAAGAACTCATACAGGGGAGAAACCGCATACGTGTTTGGAGTGTGGAAAGAGCTTCGCTCGCAGCAATGCGCTTACTAGACATCAACAAACTCATCGAGGCAGCAAACCTTATAAATGCTGGGAATGTGGCAAGAGCTTCAGTCGCATCGACTCCCTTTCCTCACATGAAAGAGTTCATATAGGGGAGAAACGATATACATGTTTGGAGTGTGGAAAGAGCTTCAGCTACAGTTGCAGCCTTACCTTGCATCAAAGATTGCACACAGGAGAGAAACCTTATAAATGTTTGGAGTGTGGCAAGAGCTTCTGTCGCGGTAGCCATCTCACGTTGCATCAAAGAACTCATACAGGAGAGAAACCGTATACATGTTCGGAGTGTGGAAGGAGCTTCAGTCGTAGTAGCTCCCTTAAGTCGCATCAAAGAACTCATACAGGGAGGAAATCTTAGAAATGTTTGGTGTATGGAAAGAACTTCAGTGACAGGGGCTCCCTTCCTAAACAATAAAGAACTCGTACAAGGGAAACATCTTAGAAAGGGTTGGCGTGTGGGAAGATCTTTAATCATATCAATTAACTCCTACAGAGAGTAAACCAATGATCATGTTCTGGTCCCCCCAGGACAGCCATTATTGTATTGGAAGAACTTTCTGACAGTAAGAGCTGTTTTGACAATGGAACAGTCTCCCTCGGGAGGTGGCGGGCTCTCCTTCCTTGGAGGTTTTTAAGCAGAGGTTGGATGGCCTTCTGCTATGGATGCTTTAGCCGAGATTACTTCATTGCTGGGGTTGGACTAGATGACCCTTGGGGTCCCTTATAACTACAGTTCTATGATTCTATATACAGCAGAACCATCATCTGCTAGACAGCCCTGTTTAGGGAAGCTTTTAATGTTTAATAGGTTATTGTATTTTAATATTCTGTTGGGAGCCGCCCAGAGTGGCTGGGGAAATCCCGCCAGGTGGAAGGGGTATAAATTATTAGTAATACTCGGGAGTAAGTTCCCTTCAGCCAGGCTCCTCTGTGTTTTTCTAGCTCTGTCTGCTTCCTCACCTGCCCTCTCCAAATGGGCGGAAGCAGCAAGGAGAGGGAGCCAAGCTCCTAGCCCCTCTGCCATTAGGGAAATTGGGCCCAGCAAGTTTGGGGGATAAGGAGAGAGGGAGTACTGACAAGGGAGAGTAGTGAGGTCCACTGATGCCATCTAGACTCCCCCCAAATTAATTTATTATTATTATTATTATTATTACTATTATTCATTTCTATACCGCTTGACATTTTTTTTAAAAAAATCTCAAAGCGGTTTACTGCATATTTAACATCAATAAAACAATCTAGAATCAAACATTTCTGAAGAATGTCAAATATAAAGTATACAGTCAAAGCAACATATTTAACAGGAAACTAAAATATTATCTTAAAATATTTCAAAATAAAACATTACAAAGGAGGTCGACTACAGAATACATATTTAACACAAAGTTAACAAAAAAAAACTTGAACTTTTCAAAAGAAAACATTGCTAAGTGAAGCCAACTATAAAATGCACATTGAAAACAGCATAGTTTACAAGCCGGTTGACTGACTGAACCCAAAGAGTACTCCTTAATGGTTCCTCAAATCCTCTATTACAGCAGTCCATTGCTGCCTCTTGTGGCAGTGAGTTCCATAGCTTAATTCCTCACTGTGCGAAGGGTTTCTTTTATATATCCTGACTCTTCCACCATTCAGCTTCCTGTGACGCCCCCGAATTCTAGCGCTAGGAGAAATAAAAAGCTTTTCTACCTACTTTCTCCACACAATGCACAATTTCATAATCGTGTCACTTCTTACTTGCTTTTTCTCTAAACTAAAAAGTTCCCAATTCTGCGACCTTTCTCCACAGTGGAGTTCCTCCATCCCCTCGATAATTTGGGCTGCCCTTTTCTGAAGGTGGGGTTGGGACCACTGGGTGCAAAGTACAACTTCTGGAAAATCTCATTTATCCCTTCTTTGGGGGGAGGGAAGTTTCCAGCCCCGAAGAGCAGAGCAGACACTTCAACGTGGATGTGAAGTCTCTGAAAACAGAGAGGAAGGTGACCAGGGGTCAGAGAGCGGGGCTTGTCCCTCCCCAGGACTTGGAAAACATGGTAAATTGGCGGCAGCAGAGCTCCACGACTCTCGTGAGATGCACAACCAAAATAAATGGTACATAAAGTGCTTTTAAAATGAAGAACACCTTTTTATGGTCCACAATTCTTTTGTTTTGCTGTGGAGAACAACCAGGCCTGCATGTCTCCTGCAAAGGCCTCACTAAGCAGGGCCTACTAATCATCATGGAACATCTTCTCCCCAGGGACTGATACTGATTTTTGTTTCGTTTTGTTTTTCAAAGGAAGAACAGAAAAAGATAACAAATGCAGAATTGTTCTTTTATTGTTTATAAGGTGTGAAATATACTCGGAGTCGAGAGTGGATTTCATGCTCTTTATTCAGCTCATAGTGGTGAGGAGGAACGAATGTTCCCCCACAGTATCTGCTTTATATACATTATTTACACAATGGGCTGCACGTGATTGGCTAATGGATACAGTTAAACAATAGTGAAGTATCAGATCTGGAAGGACGTGGTAATAGATTTGGTTAGCATGCTTAATTTTAGTATGAGAAAACAAAGGTGCACAAGGGATTCCTGAACCACATTATAAGGAAATCAATTTACCAAGTATGGGACAAATATAAGAGTTTATTAGAGAACAAGACACCTTTGTGGCTTTCCCATTAGAAACCATATCTGTAAAAAGAGGTAAACACGAAACTGGGCAACATACAAAGATCTGTTAACAGAAGTAGAAAACAAATTAAAGGTAAAGAATATGAGGATAAGAAAGCTCTGTTAACGGATTGGTTACAATAGTGCCAAATAAATGACATATTCAAAGGTGACAAAGAGAAGGACTTTGGGAAGGAATTCTCAAAGTTCAAAAATGAATTATTAGAAAATAATGAGAAATTGTTATCAAGAATGTACATACCACTGTTGGAATGGGAGACAAAAGATGAAGAGGTTAAAGCTGTAATGATACACTGGGCAAAACACATAGGTTATAATATACCACTTGAATCATGTAAAAAAAGATTTTAAAATTCACGGCATGTAGTTCATTAAAAGAAAATTATATGAAGATGTACTGGTGGTATTTGACTCCAGTAAAGCTTGCTAAAATGTATAAAGATCTCTCTAATTTATGCTGGAAATGTAAGGATAAGGAAGGAACTTTGTTTTCATATGTGGTGGACGTGTAAAAAAGTAAAGGGCTTCTGGGAAATGATATACAGTGGTGCCTCGCAAGACGAAATTAATCCGTTCTGCGAGTCTCTTCGTCTTGCGGCACGGCTATTAGCAGCTTAGCGGCTATTAACGGCTTAGCGGCTTTAAGAAAAAGGAAACAAACTTGCAGGAACTCGCAAGTCGTTTCGTCTTGCGAAGCAAGCCCATAGGAAATTCGTCGGGCATTCGTCTTGCAGGGCACCACTGTACACTGAACTTTTTAAAATTCTTAAAATTAAATTTGTTTAAAAAAGCAGAGGCTTTTTTACTAGGTGTAATAGGAGAATTGCCCAGGAAGCAAGAGACTATTTATGCGACTACAGCAGCCAGATGTGGAAAGAAGAAAAGGTCCCAAAGAAAGAAGAATGGAAAGATGATTGACTATGTCTAAATGGCTAAATTTTCTGTAAAGATCAGGCACCAAGATGAGAAAAAAATCAATCAAGAATGGGAAAACTTTATAGACTATTTTAGAGAATCTGTAAAAACGTCAAAACATTAGCAGGTTTGATGTAACATTGATGAACTAAGAATAGAATTAGGAGGGGGAAAAGAAGTTGAAATTAATTGGAGAAATATAATTATATGTAAGAATAAAGTGGGGGGAATGGAAACTAGGGGGCCGGGGGGAAGACGTTTATTGCAAATTTGGGAAAATGTTATTTTGAAAATTGAAAATAAAAAAAATATATTTTTAAAAATAGTTTAGAAAACGTTTTAGGGCCCCGTGCATCTGATCCAGCGGGGCTTTCCGGCGGCGAGACCAGCGCCTCTCCTCGCTCTCTGCCGAGAGAAGCCCAGAGGCTCCTGCCGCTCGGCTCCGAAACGGTTAAGAACAGCGGCGACAGAGCTGAGAATCCTAGAGCGGAGGAAAAAAGGCTGTCGGGAGAATAGCAGTTTCCGCTTCCTGTCCCGCTTTGGGGGGGGGGGGGGAGAGATGCCGAACATGGCGGCGGCTGTCCTTCCTCGCGGAGGCGCTGCAGGTGGGTCATATTGTTATATATTATAACTGTGGTGCTGCTGGAGGGAGTTGTGGGGAGGGATTAAAAAAAAAACCCTGTTAGGCAAAGCGTTTCAATGTAAGTTTTTTTCTGTGTCTCCTTTTTCTCGTCGTTAATTTATCCAGATTCTCACATCTTATTATTTTTAACGACCTCTTGAAAATTGGTCAGCATTTTGGTGCAGATTTCTCCTAATGCCCACGATTTTGCAAAGGGTATTTCCCCAAATATTTACATTTACCATAATTAATGCATTCTGTATATAATTCCGCTAAAAAAATGCATTTATAGGGCTTTCCCCCTTTGTATGGGAGTAGGAAATCTTTTCCCAATGGAAGGGCAGATCTTTCTCCTGCTCTCCTCCCTGCAGGCCAACTTGGGCAGGTGGGGGACCTTCCTTGGGCTCCCCATAGGGCTTGGGGTCAAGGCAAACCCTTAAGCATTGGAAAACCTTCTGCAGGGGCTCCCCCTGGAACTTGTAATAATTTTTATCCGGCCTGATTTTATTATAATTTATTAAAATCGTATACCTCCCTATACCCACAGGATAAAATCGCAATATAAAAACCCAAAAGTACATAATCAAAACATAAACAAAATCAACCCAATAACGCCCCCCCCAAACCACACACATTTAAAAACATTTTTAAATACAGCAGAAGAGGTTAAAAAAAAGGAGAAACAAGCAACTTCAAGTCCACATTAAAATTACAAGCGTGGCTGAGGCTAATACTATTACTATTACTACTACGAATACCCCTGAGCACCCTCTCCCACCAGTGTCTTGCCTCGGTAATGGACTGGATGAGAGCCAACAAATTGAAGCTCAATCCAGATAAGAGTGAGGCTCAGTTAGTGGGTGGTTCCCTAGAGCAGATGGCTGGGAGGTCGCCTGCTATTGATGGGGTTACACTTCCTCTGAAAGAGCAGGTTCGTACCTTGGGGGTAGTCCTGGATCCTTTGCTGTTGCTGGAGGCTCAGATGGCCTGGAGTGCCTTTCATTACCTTTGGCTGGTAGCCCAGCTACACCCCTATCTGGACAGGATTAGCCTATCTACCGTTGTCTATGCACTGGGAACTTCAAGGTTAGATATAGATATGCGTTATACGTAGGGCTGCCTCTGAAGACAGTTTGGAAACTTCAGCTAGTGCAAAATTCAGCGGCCAGCTTGCTCACCAGAGTAAGGCGGGTGAGCATATTACCCCCATCCTGGTCTGACTGCACTGGCTACCAATTAGTTTCCGGGCTCAATTCAAAGTGCTGGTTTTGACCTATAAAGCCTTACATGGCTCAGAATCACAATACTTCAAGGGCTGCTTCTTTCCATATGAACCTAGCTGGATCCTGAGGTCCTCCTTCGTGGGCCTCCTCCTCAAGTGGTCCGGAGGGTGGCAACACAAGAACAGGGCCTTCTCTGCAGTGGCTGGCTGTCTGTGGAATGCCCTCCCCAGGGAAGTTCGCCTGGCGCCTTTCTTATAAACCTTCGTTGTTGTTTACTCGTCTTAGTCGTGTCCGACTGTCCGTTATCCCATGAACCAGAGCATGCCTTGGAAACAGTTGCTTTCCTCTCAAAGCTTCTCCTTTTTTATGTCCATGGAGCTTTCATGGCATAATACTGGAGTGGGTTGCCAGTTTCTTCTCCAGGTGGATCACATTTAGTCTAAACTCTCGGCTGACCTGTCTGTCTTGGGTGGCCCTGCACGGCATAGGTCATAGCTTCTCTGAGTTATTCAAGCCCCTTCGCCACGACAAGGCAGTGATCCATGAAAGGGTTTACACCTTTAGGTCCCATGCAAACATGTTCCTTTTTAACCAGACTTTTGCTAGATATCTTTGACATCCTATAGTCATTTTCAAACGTGGCTCTTTTTTGGGGAGTGTTATTGGGTTGTTTTTAGTCTGATTATATATGATGTGATCTTTTCTGTGAACCACGCTGAGATCTCTGGGTATAGGGTGGTATATAAACTCAATAAATAATAGTACAATATTAATACTTTCATTATTTGTACCCCACGGATCTGACTCGGTTGCCACAGCCACTCTAGCTGCTTCTAACAAATATAAAAGCATAATAAAACATTTAAAACTTCCCTCTACATGGCTGCCTCCAGTTGTCTTCTAAAAGTTGTATAGCTATTTGTTTCCTTGACATCTGACGGGATAGCTTTCCACAGGGTGGGCACCACTACCAAGAAGGCCCTCTGCCTCGTTCCCTGCAACTAACCTTCTCACAGTGAGAGAACTGCCACAAGGCCCTGGGACTTGGATCTCTGTGTCCTGACTGAATGATTGGGGTGAAGACGCTCTTTAGCATTTCATCAGTTTGCCTTTTTATTCCATCAGGAGATGTTGAAGGGATGCTGGCAAAAGGGGAACAATCAGAAGTGTCACCAAAAGGATCGAAAGAGCAAAGGAAGCTGAGGGTTCAAGATGGAGGCACCAGGCGAGAGGGGTGCCGAAAGCAGAAGCCGGAGGGTGACTCTGGTACGTCTCAAGGTAGTGAAAATCAAATTGCCAGAGAGGAGAAAAAGCATGAATGCACCATTTGTGGAAAGATATTGGGTAGTCACTCAACTCTTACCTCACATCAAAGAACTCATACAGGGGAGAAACCGTATACATGTTCAGAGTGTGGAAAGAACTTCAGTGAGAGTAGCTCCCTTAAGTTGCATCAAAGAACTCATACAGGGGAGAAACTGTATACATGTTCGGAGTGTGGAAAAAGCTTTATTTGGAGGAGCAGCCTTATGTTGCATCAACGAACTCATACAGGGGACAAACCATATAAATGTTTGGAGTGTGGAAAGAGCTTCAGTGAAAGTAGTTCCTTCACCTTGCATCTACTAACTCATACAGGAGAAAAACCGTATACATGTTCGGAGTGTGGAAAGAGCTTTATTTATAGTAACAGCCTTAGGTTACATCAAAGAACTCATACAGGGGAGAAACCGTATACATGTTCAGAGTGTGGAAAGAGCTTCCGTCACGAAGGTACCTTTACCTCGCATCAAAGAACTCATACAGGGGAGAAACCGTATACATGTTCAGAGTGTGGAAGGAGCTTCAGTAGGAGTGGCACCCTTAAGTTGCATCAAAGAACTCATACAGGGGAGAAACCGCATACATGTTTGGAGTGTGGAATGAGCTTCGCTCGCAGCACTGGGCTTACTAGACATCAACAAACTCATCGAGGCAACAAACCTTATAAATGCAGGGAATGTGGCAAGAGCTTCAGTCGCAGTGACTCCCTTTCATCGCATGAAAGAGTTCATACAGGGGAGAAACAATATACATGTTTGGAGTGTGGAAAGAGCTTCAGCCAGAGTGGCAGCCTTACCTTGCATCAAAGATTGCACACGGGAGAGAAACCTTATAAATGTTTGGAGTGTGGGAAGAGCTTCAGTCGTGGTAGCTTCCTTACATTGCATCAACAAACTCATACAGGAGAGAAGCCGTATAAATGTTCGGAGTGTGGAAAAAGCTTCAGGTGCAGTAGCCGTCTGACGTTGCATCAAAGAACTCATACAGGAGAGAAACCGTATACATGTTCGGAGTGTGGAAAAAGCTTCAGGTGCAGTAGCTCCCTTAAGTCGCATCAAAGAACTCATACAGGGGAGAAACCGTATACATGTTCGGAGTGTGGAAAAAGCTTCAGTCACCATAGCGCCTTTAAGTTGCATCAAAGAACTCATACAGGAGAGAAGCCGTATTCATGTTCAGAGTGTGGAAAAAGCTTCAGTCAGAGTAGCTCCCTTAAGTCGCATCAAAGAACTCATACAGGGAGGAAATCTTAGAAATGTTTGGTGTATGGAAAGAACTTCAGTGGCAGGGGCTCCCTTCCTAAGCAGTAAAGAACTTGTACAAGGGAAACATCTTAGAAAGGGTTGGAGTGTGGGAAGATCTTTAATCATATCAAATAACTCCTACAGAGAGTAAACCAATGATCGTGTTCTGGTCCCCCCAGGAGAGCCATTATTGTATTGGAAGAACTTTCTGACGGTAAGAGCTGTTTTGACAATGGAACAGTCCCCCTCGGGAGGTGGCGGGCTCTCCTTCCTTGGAGGTTTTTAAGCAGAGGTTGGATGGGCTTCTGCTATGGATGCTTTAGCCGAGATTACTTCATTGCTGGGGTTGGACTAGATGACCCTTGGGGTCCCTTATAACTACAGTTCTGTGATTCTATATACAGCAGAACCATCATCTGCTAGACAGCTGTTGTCACAAGCTTGGCAAATCCAGAGATATACTTGATCATCAGATAATGCCAATATTATTCACTTGGACTGTGCTGTTTGAACCCATGTACAAGTCTAGGTGCCTATTCTATAGTTTTCATATCCTAATTTTCATCTGCTGTTATATGTAGCATTCCCAAAGCAAGGAAGGATTGGACTCTGATTAATAAAATACACACGAGGATTGACCAGCAAGACTCTGGGAGGAGTGCGTATAATAATTCTCTCCCTACCCCTTGGCCCAGGTCGTTTTATTCACACAAGAACTTTTTACACAGTGTTCGTAAGAACCAATCAGATTTCCTCTGAGCATTTCAAAAAACCCCATGTGGGACAAAGTTAGATCAGTAAAGGAAGGAAGGGTGGTATTCACCATCTCTTTGTGAACTCTCTTCCTGAACTCTCTTCCTGGCCCTAAGAACTATCTAAAGATTAACAAACTACATCAAAGTAACCTATTAACTTTATGGCCTAGGATGCCTGGTGCAGCAACTGGTCTGTGTCCTAGAATGCTTATACGGGTTTGTCAGACATAGAGAAATGGCAGTAGAGAAAATGGGCATAGGTGCAGAGGCTTGTGGGATTTGATCAGAAATTATTGTCAATGAATCAAACCCAGTCAACGCAGTGCTTTCATTGCGGACACAATGGCTTGATGCATATCATTCCTCATAGTAATCCCATCTGATCACTATAGTTATAGCTGCTATCTCTGTTTCATTTACATCATAAAATGAAACAGAAAAGCTTTACGAAGTCCAGTCAAAGGCGACTATGGGGTTGCAGTTCTCATCTTGCTTTCAGGCCGAGGGAGCTGGTGTTTGTCCACAGACAACTTTCTGGGTCATGTGGCCAGCAGGACTAAACCACGTCTGGCGCAATGGAACACCGTGATGGAAACCAGAACTCACGGAAACATCATTAGCCTTCCCGCCACAGTGGTACCTACTTGCACTGGCGTGCTTTCAAACTGCTAGGTTGGCAAGAGCTGGGAGAGAGCAACAGGAGCTCACTCCGTCGCACAGATTCAAACCGCCAACCTTGCCATCAGCAAGCCCAAGAGGCTCAGTGGTTTAGACCACAGTGCCATCCACCTCAGGCTTGTGGGAGGAAACTACTGCCAGCATAGAACAGCCTGCTAGTGGGATTTGCACCTGTTACCAATCTGCTACTGGGCTGAATTCAAGGAGTTTGTACTAACGTGCAAGTCCCTGTTCTGCTCAGTCCCAGATATACAGCAGAGATTCTCCTGCAAGTTCCAAAGATCTCCAAAGCACACACCCAGAATGGGGCTTTTAGTGTCACTGTCTGTGTTCTGTGGAATGGCATCCCTTGGGGGCAGGAATTGGGACCTTTTCCAGCTGGATAAATAGATTTTAATAATGGGTGCTCACTTGTTACGGTTTTAGTCTTATTTTTATTTGTTGCCTTTGTGTATATAACTGCTTTTAAAAACATTTTTTATATAAATTGCCTTGAGACGGTGGTTTAGAAGGCAATCAATTATTTTTTAAAAATACTTTTAAAATACTTTTAATGTTTATACATTTCACTAATTTTACAATCATTTTGATATTTCAAGGTTTGACTTTCTTCCCCCTCTTTCTGCGGTTCCTTAAATTTATTTTTAATATCTTCTGCATATCCAAATTAACTTAATTTGCTCATTTATTCATCTTCTTTAAATATATACTCGTATGAATTTGCAGGTTATTACAATAATCCTACCAATGTTTTTATCTGTTTACAATTTATCTGTAAATATTCAATAAACCATTTCCATTCTTTTATTTTTAAAAAATGTTATCTTGATTTCTTATCTTCTGGTAAGGTTCACCATAGAAGGCAATCATATTTAAGGCAATCAAGAAATCATTGTTACAAATAATATGATAATAATTTTTACTTTTTCTACTGGCATCTGACCAGGGTTAATCCTCCTGTGGATTTTTGTTAAATGGGAAAACGGTAGATAAACAGAAGCAGAGCTATAGAAAGAGATATACGGAAGATATACACAAATAGATAAATCTCGCTGGACCAAAAGAATAAGACTTGTGATGCTGACACACAGTCGTTAAACCCGTTGAGTATTGCCAATTAAGTTACTTGCATTTCTGAAAATATATTGTCATCAAGCAGAGTAAAAGGGAACCTTACTGAGAGAGGACACGATCCTGCAAATCTCCTTCATAATTTGGCTGTGCAGGGCTCTCTGGTCAGGACCCAGCAGAGCCCATTCCTCTTCAGTGAAACTGAGTCCTGAGAGAGAGAGAAGGCAGGTGGGGAAAATGCTTCCTTGCAAATATCAAAATAGACCGGCCTACAAGCAAAATCCCAAAGCCTTGTTAAGGGGAGGTGAATGGGCATTACCCTCAGGATTAATATACATTGGTACCTTGGTTCTCAAACTTAATCCATTCCGGAGGTCTGTTCCCAAACCAAAGCATTCCAAAACCAAGGCGCGCTTTCCCATAGAAAGTAATGCAAAATGGATTAATCTGCCCCAGACTTCTGAAAACATCCCCTAAAACAGCAATTAAACATGAATTTTACTATCTAACAATACCACTGATCCATAAAATGAAAGCAATAAACAATGTACTGCAACCACACGATCAGTCAATCAGTAGCTGAACTGGGTTCCACACAGTCACAAAAAAAAGAGCCACAAAAATGCAAAATAAATAGCGAACACAGACAGACCTCAGCGTAACACTCAAAAGAGAAGTGTAACACTCAAAATTGAATCAAGGCACTCAAAGCGGAGCACATCCGGCTTCCCAAAAGTTTGCAAACTGGAACACTTACTTCCGGGTTTGCGGTGTTTGGGTTCCAAGTTGTTGGAGTACCAAGGCGTTTGAGAACCAAGGTACCACTATAGAGGCTGCAGAAGCTTTTTCCCCCACCTGGGAGCCTCTTTCCATTCAAGACAATATTCGGGGCGGATCCAGAGGCAAAATTTTCTACCTCCATCCAAGGAAACAACAGGCAAGATCAAGGGCCAGAGAGAGGCTTGGAGGGCCGCAGTTAGTGCCCCCTACCATGAGGCCTGAGGTTCCCCACTCCTGATTCAAATCTTCATGAGTGGCGTTGACAGCCTTCCTAGTGGGTAGCAAGATAGCGGTACTGGCAGGGTCCCCGGTGCTGATTCCCTCTACCTGATTTGGTGACCCAGAAGAGCTGTCCTCCATCCCAGGAGAGATGGCTGAGTACGAATCGTCAGCACGGCTTCATCACCTGCGAGAGACAAAGAGGTCAGGAATGTTGGAAGGTCAACAGCAGGGATCATGCAGTTTATCAGCTAAGGGTTAAATCTGGTGGTGTTTAAAGAGAGCTGGCCAAGAGGGGTGGGCGGAGCTGCTGCTTAGCAACCAAGCAGAGCGGCATGACTTTCACTGAGGAAACTTGTGCTCGGATTGGCTGGGTGGTTCTGAGGGAGTTTTCCTCTGCTATGTTTGGATGAACGTCTCCCTGTTTTTGCTTGTTTTTTTCAGGAAAGTAATATCGGCTCTTTTCACAGTAGCACATGCTTGTCACGTAGACAAGAAGTTTGGGGTCAGTTTAGCACAGGGGTCAGCAACCTTTTTCCCACCAGATGTCAAAGAGAACAACAACTACCAGACTTTTAGAAGACATCTGAAGGCAGCCCTGTTTAGGGAAGCTTTTAATGTTTGATGTATTAGAGTATTTTAATATCTTTTTTGGAAGCCGCCCAGAGTGGCTGGGGTACAAATAATAAATTATTATTATTATTATTATTAGCCATTGGTCGGTCCACCATCCCTCAGACCATGTGCTGGGCCGGACTATATTGGGATAGGGGGGTAATGAATGAATTCTTATGCCCCACAAATAACCCAGAGATGCATTTTAAATAAAAGCACACATTCTACTCATGCAAAAACACCAGGCAGGCCCCACAAATAACCCAGAGATGCTTTAAAAAAATAAAAGGACACATTCTTCTTCCTTTTTAAAATTAATATTCTTTATTGATTAAAAAAATTACATGTCTGTACAAACATTATGTACTATCTCTTAAAAGGTAAAAAAAAAGAAAATTAAATAAAATAGAAACTTTATAAAGAAAGAAAAAATAAAAAATAAAGAAGTAGCAAAGATAAGAAACAAAGAAATAATAATAATAATAAAAGACAAAGTCCTGGAGTGTCCGTGGGCCGGATTGAGAAGGCGATTGGGCCGCATCTGGCCCCCGGGCCTTAGGTTGCCTACCCGTGGTTTAGCAGATGGATGGCCTTATTTCATATGTCCCCTTGGATCCTGCAACCTGAGGGACTGGCACACAGACAAGTGCCACATCATGTTCATCCTGAACTTGCAAGGAGCCATTCTTCTGGTAGAAGGTGCCCCATCTATGCTTACTCTGTAAGGCGGTTTCTCCGTCACCTTCCTGTTTGATATGCCACCACAAGGAACGTTTCCTTGGCCTCAGAGAAATCTCCTCCTGCCTCTGCAGTTCGTTCCTTTACCTGAAACAGCAATGAGGACTAGGATCAAAAATAAAATTAGGGGGCCGCTAGGGGCGCATTGGAAGATGGCTGACAATACCATCTCTCCGGCTCACACAAGGTAATTAAGAGGCTGATATGGGAGTATGCAACCTCCCTTGTTACCCCAAGGAAATGGGGAACACTGCCTTGCCTGCAGTTGCCATAAATCACCCCCAGATTCGAAAGAAGGGGGTGAGGGCACTAGGCACACAGCCCTCGTGGGAGACGGCTCTCCCTGAAGCTGTCTCTGATCGCGCGGCCTGGTTGCAGCAGCTCAAAATAATCAATTAGAAAGAAGCAAATGCACATATTTCGAGTGAAGATCGGGAGATAAGACTGCTAATTAAAGTGATCTCTGTGAAGTGGAGCGACGGGCTGGCTTCAACAATAAATCAAGAAGAAGATTCATCAAAGGATTGGTATGTCGGAGCGGGACTGAAAAGGGGGGGGACTTTTCTTTTTTTAATCTTATGTGAGTACCCAATAACCCTCCGCCCAAGAAAGAACCGTTGCAATTACTGATTACAAGCACGATGATTAAGAAATGTGTGGAAATAAATTACTAATCAAAGACATGGCTTGTGGGAACATTGGGAAAGGAATGGAAGCTCTTTGTGATGCAGTTATAAAAAGAGATTTGTTACGGCAGGCCTGGCCACAGGATGATTGAGGGGGAGGAGGACCATGGCTTGTTATTATACCAGACTGTGAGTTTGACCTGGCAGGGCCCCCTGAGAAAATTGAGGAGAGACTGGCAGGCCTGTAGAAATGAACGGACAGACTTTGGGAATGTTTTGTACGGAGGTGTGGAAATGGCATCTGTCTATCTTGATATGGCTCTTGGAGGAGTGTAAAATCCACACAGGATATAACAACGTTTGTTTTCAACCTGCTTGTGGAGACTACCGGAGATCACAAAGAAAGGAATATATGATAACAACAAGAAGATGAGGAAAATAACAAAGAGAAAATTGAACAGAACTGTGAATACTATTTGGACAGAACTGTGTATATTAAAGTAGCAGCAAGAGAGATGTTTGGATCCCTTTCTGAGCTCGAAGCATGGGTAACCCCAACAAAACTTAAAAAAATTGGCTGTGTAATTTGGAATTAATGTGATTTGGAATTAATGTGATTTGATTGGCCTGTTAATAAAAATTATTTGGAAAAAAAACCAACAAAAATAAAATTATAAGAGGGAAAACACTTTTTGGGGAGAGTTGAGACAATCTAGAAGACTTTGGGCAATTAGTGAAACGTTTTAGGGTATCTCCCCCTCACTTTACCAGCTCCTGGGAAATATCTCAGGTGAGGATGTATTTTAATTGATTGTCTGATTTTATGTTAATGTGTTATACATTTGATGTTAGCTGCTCTGAGCCCGGCTTCGGCTGGGGAAGGCGGGATATAAATAAAAATTATTATTATTATTAATAATAATTATTATTATTATCTCAGTGAAACTGTCTCTCACCTGCTGCTCTTTCTGTTTCTGGTCCTCTGCCCGGCTCAGGAGGAAACCTTCGGCCAGGGCCACCACCTGGGAACTGGTCTCCACTCCGTATTCCCTCACCCAGCTCTCCATCTCCGGGGGGAGTTCAGCCAGGAACTGCTCCAGGATCACTAAATCCAAGATCTGAGCCTCGGTGGTCTCTCTGGCTTCAGCCACTGACAGCAAAGATGGTGGAGCCGGCTGCAAACCTCTCAGGGTCCCTCGGCCTCCTGGTAGCAGAAAAGCCCGAAATGCCAGCATTGTACGTCTAAGCTGAGGGTCTCTTCCTCACCTGCGTTGTTCTGCGTGGTTCTTTCCCAGAATCCCGCACTGCGTTCAGTCTGGATCGTCCGACAAGCACAAGCGTCTCTTCCTTCTTCAGGGCCAAAAGAGTCACGTTTCTCCATGGAGGCTGAACCAGCTCCTCCCATTTCTGCCAGTTTCTGTCTCAAGATGGAGATTCTCCTAATCTGAGGGGCCGCCAGGTCCTGTAAAGCCAACAGCAAATTATTGGTGAGTAAATGGTTGCACTGTTGGGCAGCAGATTTTCCCTGAGCAAATCTCAGGGATGAGCCCATCTCGCCACCAGGCTAGTGAGTGCGAAGATTTGAAGATGGACTACAAACATGAGGGAGGTTCCTTTATTTAATTAATTTTTATTTATTGAATTTACAGGTGAAACTCGAAAAATTAGAATATTGTGGGTGAAATATACTCAGAGTCGAGAGTGGATTTCATGCTCTTTATTCAGCTCATAGTGGTGAGGAGGGAATGCAAGTCCCCTCAAAGTATCTGCTTTATATACATTATTTACACAATGGGCTGCATGTGATTGGCTAATTCCGGAATTCTGCTGTAGGCCAATCAGGTTGTGGATTCACTTCTATCTGGAGCTGGATTGGGTGGCTCCTGCTGACCAATCGTACTGCTGCATTGTTCTAGGACCAATCAGACTGCTGCATTCTGAATCCTATTGTTCTAGGACCAATCAGACTGCTGCATTTTGGATCCTATTGTTCTAGGACCAATCAGAGTGCTTCAGTTTGGATCCTATTCAACTCAGTACATAACAGTGGGAAAGTTCGTTTATTTCAGTCATTCAACTTAAAAGATGAAACTAATATATGAGCTAGACTCATGACATGTAAAGCGAGATATGTCAAGCCTTTATTTGTTATAATTGTGATGATTACGGTGTACAGCTGATGCAAACCCGAAATTAACAATCTCACCTGCATATACTGCCCTATACCCAGAAGTCTCAGGGCGGTTCACGGAAAATATTGCAATATATAAAATCAAAATAAGAACAATAGCCCAATAACACACCCCTGTCCAAAAAAGAGCCACATTTTAAAAGGGTATAGGATGTCCATCAGGTCAGCCAAAGGCCTGGTTAAAAAGGAACATTTTTGCCTGGCGCCTAAAGGTGTATAATGAAGGCGCCAGGCGAGCTTACCTGGGGAGAGCATTCCACAGACGGGGAGCCACTGCATGTCAGGGCCATGTGCTAATTTTGACATATTTTTAATTTAATTTAATTTAATTTAATTTAATCAAAGTAATACTTATCTGCAGCAGCTGAGATTCAGTATACTGCCTCTAGATGTGTAGGTTCCTCTCCTCTTGCAGCTAAGACAGCAGCTTTGCTTGTGCATATCCCATATTTCTGTGACTGGGGTGTGAGCCTAGGGCTTGGGAGCCCAGGGTTCAAATCCTCACTCAGCCATGAAACTCTGGGTGGCGTTGGGCCAGTCATTGCCTCTCAGCCTGACCTCCCTCACAGGTTTGTTGTGAGGATGAAACGAGGAGTGGGGAAAACCATGAAGGCCACCTTGAGCTCCTTGAAGAGAAAAAGGTGGGATGTAAACGACGTTTCAGCAGTAAAATCACCTGCCCATTGGCAAAGGTAAGCATGGTTTCAGATGGGATGGGGACTGCACATTGAGATTCCTGCACTGAAGGGGTTGGACTAGATGACCCTCGGGTCCCTTCCAACGCTATAACTCTATGATCAGGGCTGGTGCTACCTTAGGCCACCTAGGAAGCAGCGGAGGGCGTAGACCGCAGAGGGGCGCAGTTTCACGCAGATTCATTTTTTGTCCTGTCTTGTAAATGACGGATAATATGGTGCTTTTATATTTTGAAGAATGGTGTCATTTCTACGAGCCAACTGCTTTTGAAAATTTTGTTGTTGTTGTTTAGTCGTGTCCGACTCTTCGTGACCCCATGGACCAGAGCACGCCATTAGCAATTTTGCTGGGTGTGTGTGTGTGTGCGTGCAAGTAGCTAGTCTTCTCTAGGGTTCTAGATTCGCATTGGTGTTTATTGATTTTGATTGATTTATGGGGGCAACTACCCCTTCCTCTCTAGGAAGCAAGCTCTGCTGCTATTAACCCTGAAAAGGCCAAGCAGCAACATAACCTCTCTGCAAGCAGGATGGATGCTTGTGCATTGCACCACAGATGATGATGATGATGATAACTTGTTGGGCGGCTTCCAAAAAAATATAAAAACACAAGAAAACATCAAACATTAAAAACTTCCCTAAGCAGGGCTCCCTTCAGATGTCTTCTAAAAGTCAGATAGTTGTTTCTTTCCTTGACATCTGGTGGGAGGGTGTTCCACAGGGCAGGCACCACCACCGAGAAGGCCCTCTGCCTGGTTCCCTGTAACTTGGCTTCTTGCAGCAAGGGAACCGCCAGAAGGCCCTTGGTGCTGGACTTTGGTGTCTGGGCTGAATGGTAGGGGTGAAGATGCTCCTTCAGGTAAGAGGTGACATGACAGAAGTTCATTGTAATGGATTTATGGTGCTAAACTGTTAGGTTTAGTAAATATTACGATTTAATTAGAACTTGCATGTTATAACTGGGATGTGTTGCAAGACAGTCTCAATGTGCATTAAAACGGGTAAGGTAAGGGGTCTGAGGTGTTTCATTAGCATTTATGTGTAAAGACTGTGTTGCAGACAGTCACCCCCTTACATCACCTCCTTCTAACAGACCCACCAAGTGTCCCTATTTTCCAGGATTTACTGAAACCATTTCTTATTTGATCCTGGAACATCCTTATTTTCCTTAGGATGTCCCTATTTTCATCAGAGACATGTTGGGGGCATGGAGTTAGGCGACCCCCAAGCCAAGGAGATAAATAACTCTACAACCTTTAGAAGACATCTGAAGGCAGCCCTATATAGGGAAGGTTTTGTTTTTTAAAATGTTTAATATTTTATTATGTTTTTATATATGTTGGAAGCTGCCCAGTTTTGATGGGGCAATCCAGTCAGATGGGCAGGGAATAATAATAATAATAATAATAATAATAATAATAATACAGTGGTAAAGGTAAAGGTAAAGGGACCCCTGACCATTAGGTCCAGTCGTGACCGACTGTGGGGTTGCGGCGCTCATCTCGTTTTACTGGCCAAGGGAGCCGGCGTACAGCTTCCGGGTCATGTGGCCAGCATGACTAAGCCACTTCTGGCAAACCAGAGCAGCGCACAGAAACGCCGTTTACCTTCCCACCGGAGCGGTTCCTATTTATCTACTTGCACTTTGACGTGCTTTTGAACTGCTAGGTTGGGAGGAGCAGGGACCAAGCAATGGGAGCTCACCCCGTCGCGGGGATTCAAACCACCAACCTTCTGATCAGCAAGTCCTAGGCTCTGTGGTTTAACCCACAGCACCACCCGCATCCCTTTAATACAGTGGTACCTTGGGTTAAGTACTTAATTTGTTCCGAAGGTCTGTTCTTAACCTGAAACTGTTCTTAACCTGAGGTACCACTTTAGCTAATGGGGCCTCCTGCTGCCGCTGCGCCACCAGAGCACGATTTCTGTTGTCATCCTGAAGCAAAGTTCTTAACCCGAGGTAATATTTCTGGGTTAGCAGAGTCTGTAACCTGAAGTGTATGTAACCCGAGGTACCACTATATTTTGGGATAGTTAATTTATACAAATATGGTGCCAGGGAATTAAAGTGAGAAGGGGGGGGAAAGGCATACCAGGGACAGAGTTTCTTTATAATGGCCAGATTGTTCTGTTGCTCTAAGTCCTTCAGACGCCGTCCAATTAGTCTTTTTGCTTTAAGAAAGCCCATCATGGTTAAATGATGAGGTACCACTGCAATAGAATAGGACAACCCTGTCTTCATTGGAGAAATGTTGGAGGCTATGTTGCAATACACATTGAGCCTGTCTTATAACATATCCCAGTTATAACATACAAGTTGTAATTAAATCCTAATATTTAACAACCTAAACATTTTAGCACCATAGATCTATTACATTATTAAAAACTACTCGTGGCATGGAGAGAAGCGGATGGAAAAACGTTTCTTTCCCTCTCTCATAACACTGGAAATTGCTGGAAGGTTCAGAGCCAGATAAAAGAAAGCATTGCTAAACTATGGAACTCCCTCCCACTGGAGACCGTGGCAGTAGAAGCAGAAGCCGAAGCAGCAGCAGCAGAAGAAGACAAAATCATGGAGGAGATGGCTTTCAATGGCCACTAGCAACGGTGGCTGTGATTTGACTCTGCAGCAATCGCTCCACGGGCGTGCGTTGATTTTAATTGGTCTCCTCTGAGTTAGTGGGATATCCCCTGGCATTCCTTTTCCCGCCCACAAGAAGCAGGAAAAGCAAAGCAAAACACCCCACATCTTATCTTCCACCCAGGCCTGCCCTCAAATTGAGTGGGGGAAGGAACTCTTTCTGCGGCTTGGTCCCTCCGAGGAGCCTGAGACACTTAAGGTTCCCATTCGGTGCTGCCAGCGCGGATGCCAAGAGAAACAGCGCCGGGGGACCAAAGAGGTACGGAGCTGACGGAAGAGGCAACCGCATGTCGAATAAGCTCCGGAAGTGCGTGCTGCATGCCTCTTTTGTGCCCCGCTTTTCTGTGTGAGTGTTATGGCCGCTGCAGGCAGCTCCCCCTTTGGAGGAATTGTGAATTTCTTTGAGCAATAGAGGTGGCCGGGAGGGTGAAGACGGGAAAGAAACCTCCCAGCTCTGGTTTTCTTGTATAGATTTCTGCATGCAGTTGCAAAACATCAGAAAAGCAGAGCCCAAACGTCCATTGCAATGGTTTTTTTCCCAACCCCTTAAACCTCTGCATTTGGGGGGCAGAGAGGGAACGGGTGCTCTGGTGCAAAGTCAGATGCCTGGATGGATGGCAAAAGCTGTGGTCCTTTGGGAAGGCTTTAAAAGTGGATTAAGCATCCTCCATAGAGGATGAGGCCGTCAGAGGTCCTGGCTCAGTTTCCCCCTCACTGTCGGA